TTTTGGCCCCGCCCCTCAGGCCCCTGGGGGCGTAGGACTAAACCGGCAACTATTTTTGTTGACCTTTGTCCATGGAAGGTCCCTGCAAAATTTCATTGCAATTGGTTCAGGGGTTTTGGAGAAGAAGATTTTTGAAATTTTAGTCAATTTGACCCCTTTTGGCCCCGCCCCTCAGGCCCCTGGGGGCGTAGGACTAAACCGGCAACTCTTTTTTTGTTGACCTTTGTCCATGGAAGGTCCCTGCAAAATTTCATTGAAATTGGTTCCGAGGTTTTGGAGAGGAAGTCGAAAATGTAAATTGTTTACGGACGCACGACGGACGACGGACGATTTGACGACGGACAAAAGGCGATCGCCTAAAAAAAAGGAGCAAGTCTTCGGAGCACACACCATCAGTATCTCAACATATTAAATGCACCAAATAATCTTAAAAGATTTTTGGTGTACAAGGACCGGAAATTGGTGTGTTACTTCTGTAAAACAATTGATGTAGAAAAAAAGTGTATGAAAATACCAACATTCTTAGAGTTTAAGATTTTATAACTACTTACAGACAGAAACTGTAATTTTATTTGGCATCATTACCTGTCAAACCTCTGTGACAGTTACAAAATTTGAAATTCAATCCGGTGTTTCAGGATGGAATAGTAATTGAGACTACATATCGATATAGTCCGAATTATTCTGGCGTTTTATCGACTTTTTATATCGGTCTGTCGTCGATTAACGTCAGAACTCCGGCCCTCTTTAATATGCGAGAAATAAGCCACCTGCGTCTGGGTCGCTCTTCAAACTGATAATTTAGAAACAAATCGTCACTTTCACACACATGTCGCACATGGATCGAAAGATCTATTAATTTAAAATTGGGGTAATTTAATTAGATATTATCAAGAAAGATCGTGCTGAGCCACATGCTATATCTGTTTAGTACAAAATCAACTAGTCAACTTTGATTTCCTATCAGGAAGTTTTTTCATCGACATGGGAACCTGACCAACCGGTCCTTTTGAGGGTGGGTCCGGCTTAGACGGGTTGTGCATACTGCACGTCCATTAGGTTCACCTTGGTACGGCTTTACAAGTGTATGTTCTCGCCGGAGGTAATCGTTGGTGTTCCATTCTGCAAACACGCCGATGAAAAGGCAAAAACAAGCAACTGCCAAAGACACTGTACACATGTAGCTATAGACCGCCATATTTCCAAAAGTACAACGCACTTCCGTTTTCCCCGAGTTCTACTTCCGCGATGGCGTGTTTGCCTTTATGCGGTCAGGACGGTATCTCTCAACTTACAGTTTGTGTATTCAAGCTTGTCTAAAATAAAAGATTCTTGATTTCGAATGGTAAAGTCATCAATTGTAGTAAAATGATACACACAATTTGCAAGTCAGTTGACCACAAAATTAAAAACCGAGAAACAAAATTAATGAAGGATTTAACAAGACAGAAAAAATATATTAACAGTTAACAGTTAGGGTTCTGTTAGTGGAGAAACCTAGTGTATGACAACCTCCTCTAAACGGATCCCATCATTTGATTTTCTGTGTTATTGTTTTGAATAGAACTGAACATTGTTTAAATCAAGTTCTTTTGCTTTTTTTCCCCATTTGATTACATTAAAAAAGTATGTGATTGGACAATGTGGGACAATGTGATGCACTATGTGATGGTGATGGGACTATGTGATGGGACTATGCGATGGTGATGGGACTATATGTGATGGTATGTGATGGGACTATGTGAATGTGATGGGACTGAATGTGATGGGACTATGAGATGGTGTATGTGATGGTGATGGGACTATGTGATGGTATGTGATGGGACTATGTGATGATGGGACTATGTGATGGGACTAGGTGATGGGACTTTGTGATTATGGGACTATGTGATGATGGGGCTATGTGATGGGACTAGGTGATGGGACTTTGTGATGATGGGACTATGTGATGATGGGACTATATGTGAGGATGGGACTATGTGATGACGGGACTATGTGATGGGACTATGTGATGATGGGACTATGTGATGATGGGACTATGTGATGATGGGGCTATGTGATGATGGGACTATGTGATGGGACTATGTGATGATGGGACTATGTGATGGGACTAGGTGATGAGACTTTGTGATGATGGGACTATGTGATGATGGGATTATATGTGATGATGGGACTATGTGATGATGGGGCTATGTGATGATGAGACTATGTGATGATGGGACTATGTGATGATGGGACTATGTGATGGGACT